TAGATATAGAACTATTAATGGGGATTATATACACATACACATATGTTATTTCATTGTATTTCATTATCTACATTACAGTAACGGCTTATAACTACTTAAATACATAACAATTTGAATACATGCACATGTTTCTGAAGAAGTACTATTTATTTTGGAAACCAACCTTTTTTCACTTTTATTACTAAACACATTTACTAAACAATGAATCCTACACATGTACTATATACACTGATACAAATCATATACGGGACCTCTAAGAGCTAGCTTGATTAACTTATGTCATCTCTCAGTTCTTTCATATATTAAAAAAAGAAAAAAGAAAAAGGAAGCAAATTATACAACCAGCTCAATTTGAACAATATATCAGTCTTCTCATTTAACTCTGCGTTATTGTGAATACTTTGTAAAATATTGCCAAAACAATTCCTGAATCTTATCAGCTTAGAAATGATCAAGATGTTTGTGCACCTCATGGAATAAGTAAATGCCAGAAAGGTCAACTTCTGTTAAGCAATAATTTACAGGAAATGAAAAATCAAAGGATTAAAGAGCTGGGAGGAATCAGGATGGAGAATATTTTGAGTTATTTCAGGCCTAATATGAATGTCAAAGAGCTTTCACTGAAGTCTTGATTTTGCCTAAAATATTCAAGCCAAATATGTCACACATGGATTAGCAACTCATTTGATGTCAAACCCCTGAGCAAGCAGACAAGCCCAACATTAGTCCTGCTGCTGTACTTCACACACTGATACAAAGTGATTCATCTCGTTCTTCATGTGCCTATTTCTCACTGCAATCAACAGGAGGATTTTGCTTGGAGTGATGCTGCCAATGTGTAACTGTATACACCACTAACCGGGAAAAGCAGATGGCATTTTGAACTTAGATTATATTCCGTGCCAAAGTGAAATATTTAGCGGAACTAGGTCATGTTTTTAAAGTTTAATGAGATGCAACACAACACTGACCATCTGGAGGAACTGAAAAATTCACACTGAACTGGAGTCTCAGTGGGTAATGGGGAGGAGAGCAGTACATATAAAACAACCCATTGATCTTCCTCCTCCAGGCCATTAATGAAAAACAATTTCAAGAGAGCCTGCTGTAGATAATCAAAGGGGTCACTTTTCTTCTTGGCCACTGTAATGTAGCCTATCTGCTCTGTTAATGGGCGTCTTTGAGGGTGAAAGGAACCATGAGGCATAATGAAAGAGATGGAAGGGCATGGGACTCGCCTCATCCAATGAATCATACGGCATTAATGAGAATCAGTTTTTCTCCTGCAGCTCATGTATGCAGAACGGTGTCCTGCTGTCAGAGATAACTCCACCAAATTAGTCAGGTGAGATCAGATGAAACAAAAACTGTAATTTATGAGCTGATATTTGAGGGGGTTGATTACGCAGCTTTGAGAGCACTAGTCACTTAAAAAAAAAATGGAAAGAAGCACTTGGCAGTTTTACCTGGTAATGAAGTGAGGATTTGCTTGGTCTGCGGAGGCGATTAAATGTTTTGTGTCCAAAGCAGCATAATTTGTTTTTTGGGGGTGCAGATTTGCATTGCCTCATCATATCCAGATATGATGGTCAAACAAAAGAGATTATGCTGAGCTTTCCTTTTGTGTCTTATAATAGAACAAAACATACTTCTGAATTTTATAACTACATATATGTCTCCAAATGCCATTATATAAGAACATAGAGTCCTTGTTTATTAATACACTAGAAGGTGGTAAAAGAACACATCTTTTCTGATTCTTCATTAAGAAAAGATTGCATTTTAGTGGTATTGCAATAACAAGTGTTTTTACTTTAGTAAAACTCTTGATATAATTTTATGTATACACAAAATAATAAGAAACCTTATAAGACACTGTAATATTGGTGTTCAAGGTCTGCATTCTGGACTAAATGGGAGAGACTCATTTCAGCAGAATCTCAGATTGTGTGGAACAGAGCGTGTCATGAAATGCAAGTATAGGTGACAGGTTAGAGTTCAGCTGCACTGGAACTAAGACCCAAAGAAGTGATGTGAGGACACTGATGTGTATGGAATAAAATTAGTAAAATGCCAGCATAATTAAGTATTGTCAGACATTTATGAGGACAATTTTATGAGAGGAGTAAAGGTGGAAAACTGAGGAGAGGAGAGTGAGGCGGGAAGGGATATTTCACTGCTTGAGTTTAAAATCTGTCTGCAGGCAGTGCTACACAGCAGGGCAGAGATCAGGGAAGCTTTGTTACCCATCTTTCCCTCTGAGCTTTTCAGCCAGTCAGCAAAAATTATTCTTTGGACTTTCATGAGACTATAGTATTCTTTATATGTCTGTATAATATGAACACAGGACCAGTAGGGAAGCTTTATTTTCAGTGTTTGTAGGTGCAACAGTGACTGAGGCAAAGCATGGTCAGGACTGGCCCGGCAGCCCCTACTAAATAATGTACAAAGATGATTTGTTCTGTGACAGGAAGGATAAAATGCACCACGGTGTGGTGTGTAGCATTCTGATTACACAGGCAAACCTAAGTAGGTACTGAAAAATCAGATGCAGGCTTCAGCTTGTCTAGAAATACAAGAGGTAGGTGTAGCTATTTTCTTTTCCTTAAATGTAGCAATGCCACACTGTGTCAGTTTTCCACATTTAAAATTTCACACAAACGTATGACCAGCAAAATGCTGTGGTAGTCCAAGAATTTACACTGGCACATTATGAGAATGCATTACAATTGTTGTATGAAAAGCATTTTAATGGTGGATGTGATTCAATGTTTTGTATACAACCAGGTTATAACAGTTATTATAAGATTATGTTCCATGATATGATCATGTGCATTGTTGAATACTCTCCAATGTATATTTAAAACAACACACTGACTTCACAATGACACAATAATAATAATAATCTGTGTAATAATCTGTGATTCAGCTAGATAGACTACAACTCTAGTTTTTTAATGTGTTCCACTAGACTCACTTTGCCCTTTTTTCAATTTAGTACATAAGCCTGTGCTTTGGCTGACATCAGCTTCACCTAAAATACATGTCACAAAGGAACACAAGCTCACTCAGAGGGCACTAAACACTTTTTTAAAGATGTTTTTAACTTGACCTGCTGTTGTTAGACTTGTTGTCAAAAGAATATTTGTAGTAGTGTTCGTAATTACCAGATCATCCTGCCATGAAGCCTGTGGCCTCTGGACATGATGAAGATCCTCAGGTATGTCCTGACAAAGTACAGACGCTTAATCAGCAAACAGGGAGGCATTTTGAATTTTTTATATTAGCAATACCTTTTTTTCCCCTTCATCTTTAAAACACCCTTTAAGGATAAAACGTGTCATTAGGAATGGGATTAAAAATGTGCATCATTTTTTCTCCTTCATTTGTCTGGTTTTATAAAACAATTTTAAGAAGGGCATATGTGATATGAACGTCTTTTTTTTTCTATTTCAGAATGGAGGTTAGCTGGTAATAACAGTGTAAACAAATCCAAATAGGATGCAACGATGGAAGGATGGAGGAAAGAAGAAATAATTGGATGGGGATTTCTGAAATACAACTGACAGATAATACCTTGAATTCGTTCATTTCTTTTGTACTCACTGGGTAAATGTCAATCTTCCGGTCCCTTCCCGCTGACATCACATAGCTTCAAACATAAATTGCACAAGCTCAGCGTGGATTCAAATTTATTCTAAGCCAAAAACGCTTCCAAATATCACATCATTACTCACAAATTCCTGTGGACTTGGAGAAAGATGCAGTCGCACACCTCACGACATTCACCATCTACAGGGAGACAAAAAATTCAAAGTAACTTTTCAATGATCAGATAATTTAGTGTTTCAAACTTTCTTAGAGAGAGTAAAAGAAAAAGAAAAAAGAAACCCATGCCTTTCTTTAATGTCTTCAGGCATAGACCATTGTTGAAGTTCCAGATTTTTAAAGATCCATCTCTACCACCAGTGACGAGTCTGCAGACTCAAGAACATACGATGTGAGAATGGCATCTTATGGCAATGTAATATAAGTATGATAAGGTAGTGGCTTATTGTATTATATAAAAGGTGACACTAAATATTGTATCATACCTTCTCCCTTTGGGATCAAATGTCAAACAAGTGATAGAAGACAGTTCGCGAGAGCCACCAAACTCAAAAAGTTGACACCCAGTGTCAAAATCCCAGACTCTCACAACCTAAAACCAGTAACAGCTCAGGTTTATTAAACACTTGATTTTCAGAATATCTAATATGATGGTGGGGTATGTGTTTTAACAGACACTGAAATCATTATTAATAGAATTCCTAAGGTGGTTAACATGTTGCAAAGCAGTAATTTACTCACAGATCCTTCAGTGCAGCTGACTACCTGACGAAACTCCTTACTGTAACCGCAGCACAAAACAGGCTCATTGTGAGAAACAGTGAAGTGACGGTGAAGCCGCTGCCTGACAGAAGAAAAAGATAAGAAGATGAATGAAATAACTAGAGCGAGATTAGTATTAAGGAGACACAGTCATCTCTGCAAAAATAAGTCTCCATGTTCAGAATGAAAGTAGGATTTTAGTTTAAAATCAACAGCTGTATTGAACTTCAGAGCATATTGGATCCCCTCGCTAACTGAGCTCAAAGGCATGACATCCTACCTTAACTTCAGAGGGAGCATAGTCATATAGTCCGCTGCAATATACAGAGACTTCATTGCAGGGGAATATGCGCATGCAGAAATATCACCATGAATCCGGCTTGCTTTGGGGTCTGCTGTAAACAGGCAACACTGATCCTGAAGATGCCAAATCTGAAGTAAACAGATGAACAGCAGTGAAAGACCTCACACTGTTTACTGTTTATCCTTTTAACCACAGTATAAATTATGTCTTATGAGAGAATAAAAAATACTAGAGTTATACATTTATGTGAAAAATAAAGTAAAATATTTTTTACATCTTACATCTAACTACTATGAGTTCAATAGTTCGTAGATTCACTTTTAGTAGCAAAAACCTGAAGTAATTATTTTCTGTATTACTTGATCAGCTTCTCATATTGGTGTGTGAGAAATTGGTGTGCAGGAATTTTGGCCCACTCGCCATTGTGATACCCTGATTACTTTCTTTGTAGATTTGTTGATGTGTCTGGGATAACCGTCCTGTTGCATTATCCACTTTAGCTTCAGCTGTGAGACAGATGGCCTCAAATTTGTCTCTAGAATACTTTGGTATACAGCTAAATTTATAGCTTACTCTATGACTGTAAGGTGCCCAGGTCTGGTGCAATACAAGCCTAAATCATCACCCCTCCACCACCATGCTCGACTGTTCACATGAGGTGTTTGTTCTAATATGCTGTGTTTGATATTTGCCAAACATAGCATCATTCACTGTGGCTAGAGAGCTCCACTTTGGTTTGGTGTGTACAAGGAACATTATTTCAGATGTCTTGTGATTTGTTAAAATGCAGCTTTGCAATCCTAAACCATGTTGCTGTTCTTTGTAGAAAGAAGAGGCTTTCTCCTAGCAACAAGAACAGTCGTTTTTTTTTTGTTGTTGTTGTTTTGTTTTTTTAAAATAATAATAATCGTGAACATTTCATATGCTAACTCTGACCTGTAGTTTCTGAGATATAGATTTTGGAGTTTTTCTACTTTCTCTGAGAATTGCATGGTCCGAAGTTGGGGTGAATTTGTCTACTCCTGGGAAGATTGATCATTGCATTAACACACAATGATTGCTCCAAATCAGCAATGATGATCGGTCAATCAAGTGTGCTTCATTAGCAGCCCAGGCCAACACCAACGGGGCACTTACTTTTTCACAGAACAGCATAGAAACTTTCTTTTTGACGTGACCGTATATACAGTCAGATGGCTTCTATCACTATTATATTGTACCACTGAATCCTTATTATTATGGTTCATCTGTAATCATCTATCAAGTAATGTGATACAATTGAAACTCACTGTCAAATTTAAAATGTAGTGGACTAAAAAGAAAAGTATAAGTATCCCCACTGGAACATGGTGGCACTAAACTGGCAAAGTTAACCTTATATCAAGTTTTCTAACAGTGTTGGAGAAATCACATGGGCTTGATGACTGTATAACAATAAGAATCACAAATCATTTGTATAATTTGGAAAACATAAAATCACACGTAAAACATAAAAATGAGTCATCAGTCACTTTCACAGTGCAGTCTGTTGACACAGAGAAGATTTGATTGTCTTCTGAGGAGATGCGGATGGAGATGATAGGAGCAGAGTGGCCTTTCAAAATACCAGTTGGTTTTCTAAAATTGAAATTGAATCAGGTGAAAAAATTATTGTGTTTTAAAAACATGATACTTCAAAGAACAAAATCCCAGTGACTCTAGGTCCCTTACCCAGAATAATGTGGATTCCACAGGCGAATAAGTTTATCCATGCCTCCAGTAATCAGCAATCTGTGCTTCTGACAAAGGTCAAAGGTCCTGACACCTTTGTAGATGCTAAAGACAGTCTGATCACATGATGCCCGGACCTGTGGTGTCCAACTCAGCTGGATCTTCTTGGATTTACCTTCATAACAGGTCTCTTTAATTTCACTCAGCTGTTGCTCAGCATCTGTTAAAGGCAGCAGGCAGCCTCAAGAAGGAAAAAACAAAATAAAACATAGACAATACACATTTTATTTAGGCTTTGTGTACAAGCATCAATCAAAACATTCCTTTTGCACCAAGTCATTATCAGAATAAATGACCAAGTCTGCAAGTGGACATGCCCACATGCGGGGTGATCACGCACAGAGACAGGTGGGAATAGATTGGTGAATTTGTGATAAATGAGTCATCATGAGTCATTTCTCACAGCTATCCATCCAGGCAACCTAATGTTCAAAACTGGGTTTAATTACTGAACACTGCAGAATACAAAGAAGTTGATTTTTTAAATCAATTTTTTAACGAGCATCCTAAGGATGCGTGATTTTCGATTTGGTTCTCTCATTACAGACACTGTGTATGCATCCAAAACAGACAAGTAAATATGTACATCCAAGTAACAACAATAAATGTATGATTTTCTGGTATTGTACTGAACATACTATATAGGAAAGACGGAAATAGAGCTGATCAGAAATTACCTATAACAAGAGAAGAAGATTCTTCATTTGATGAGGAGACAACAACCTGAAGACTATGAAAATATTTAATCTAAATTGGGAAAGAAATGTTTCTGTTTTAGGACTTTCATTTCATAATATAGGTCAAATATCACACCATGACCAAACCTCAATATATTTCTTCGTATGGAGCATAACCCCAGAAAGGTAAAACGTCACCTGTGTCACCCAGTCATGATGAACCTTCCATCTAATAAAAGCCAGGTTTGGAGAAAGAACTGCATGGTTAATTGATATGTTAGGTATAGTTTCAGTCTTTGGCAGTTTATTCCATAACCTATAAAAAGAGATGTGGAGATGTTCAGTCAGGCCTGAAAACCATCAGACATTCAGAGATGCAACTTTATGTAGGTTATGTATAATTAGGGGACACATAGAATCTGAGGTATACTTTTAAATCACATAACAATAACCAGCAACATGAAGTTGCCAATTTGACTAATATTCTCTATTTTTCCGTTTACAGATTGTTGCTTTATAATTTGAATTAAATGACAGCAGTAGTAACACTACTAGTAAAATACACATGTTTTAATCCTCCATGAAACAAACTCTCAAAAGTGTTAAAAAGTGAATCAAATCAAGGTAACTTACCTTTAAACTGCATGGTAATTAAAATAAAACAAAATAAATTAATAAAAATCACTGAGTTAAAAACCAGGTGGCACCAAAAGTGACTGATGATAAAAATTTCTTCACTTGGCTTTTATAAATATATAAACGTTGAAAATTATACGGTGCTAGAGGAAGCAGTAAATTGGATTTACAGTGTATGTAGAGGATCCTCCACTGATGATCCATATTCCACAATCAGTGGAGGATGAAAAACTGACCTTAACTTTAAAATTAAAAAAAAGAGAGAAAAAGAAAATCTCAAGAAAGCAAATCATAATAGTCATCTTATAATAGCCTCAGTATTGCAGTTACCATGCAACTGAAGTGGTGTGGGAGTCATAGTAAAGTGGGTGATATTACTCAGTAGAGCAACCCAAACTTTTAATTGCTGTGTATTATGCTCCAGAATCACCAAACACATTTTAAATATATCTTGTCTTCTGAGGTATTCTCATTTCTTTTTAACTTGCAAATTCTTTTTGATCAAGCAAGATCACAATTTGGGAGAAAAACTAATACTGAAGTAGTGAAATATGATTGTCTATGAATGGTTAATGCCTCTCCCAGGCTTTTCTTTGATCATCTAGTAGTGGAGAAAATCAGAGGTAATACTTAACTTTGAATAGCCAAAATGTTTTGCTTAAAGTCACAAAAATATCTTCACATGCATTCATAATATGAACAAATTAAAAACAGAAACAAAACTTGAATTTAAGTGAGTGTAAGTATTTGAAAAAGCAACATTACCTGAAGGTATCTCCAGCAGAGGATATTAAAATAATAGTCACACATCCCTAAGAGACAAGCGGTTAGATCTCTGCCAGATTTTTGTTTGATAATTCAATCAGCTTTTAATAACAAGACCTACTTCAGAGTCTCCATACAGAACACAGCATTTATCCTGGCCATTGTAGCTATGAGCAGAAAAACAAACACTGTGTAAAGAATTCATTTAGGTAATCATAAGACGATGCTAGTGTGAAGAATTGCTGCTCACCTGTAGTCCACTGTCAGGGGTATTGTTTCTAGTTCACTGATCTGACAATAAGGCTCCAGAGAGAAAAGGTTATAAAGCTGGAGCTCTCTGTCCCTGCACGATAGTAAAGATATCCACATAAACAAACTTAGCAGAGCCCGGGACCTGTAGTTAACAAGAGTAAATTTTATTTCACCACTTCTCATTACCCTGTCCCGATTATGAGCTTGTTGTACTCGCTCATCAGAGCAAAGTCACTTGCCCATTTTGACTTTGTATTTGTTGGATCTTCATTCTGTGAGAATTAACAAATACATTAAAAACTCATATTTACAAAATTCAAGGTCACTTTGAAATTACAATTGACCTGCTGTTCTGAGTTTGCTGTTTGTTATGTTAGCTAAATAATATGAATATGCTACAATCACTGTTAGAACAATTTTAAAGGTTTAAATGCTTTTCAAAAAAAATTGTTTTATTTAAATGCCCTCGTCACTGATGTGCTGCATATTCCAGTATCAGTAATTATTTCCACAGTGTCACAATACCTGCCTATTTTAGGAATTTACTGGTCTTTTTAAAAAATATATACATTGGCAAGCTGGTTTGAAAGAATGTTCAACAGGAACTATTTAACTCAATGCTGAATGCAACAGACTTTAAAAAGTCATCAGGAAGTAATCATGCTGTTGACAGTAAGCATTCAGGTAAATGTGCACAAGCTGAAACATACAAACAGGTGTTTGGTCTTCTGGGGTTTAAGTTCAGGACTCCAGTGGCAAGCACACCCGTCTTCTCGCACTGTTACGATGGTGCCATCATGAGTAGACTGGATGTTGACAATAGGAATCCCATGATTAAAGGTATTCATGGTGGCTGGCAGAATGAAGGCCACCTGGTGGTTGCGTCTTGCAGTTTCCTCCTGCCCTTTATACTGCTGCAGCATGTATGTGCAGAACTCACCCTGTATCACATTTTGTTGTGTGTTAGAAATGCCAGTGTTCTTCTGTAGATTATTATTATTACATTTGTATCAGTTCTTTATGGAATTATTTTTAGCCTTTTCTTTACTAACCTAAAATTTTGCAATTAAATTAAAGGTCATAATCCAATGTCCATGGAAGATACATTACTATTACTGCACAAGATGAATATATTAGTTTACAGTCAACCTAGGGCTAGGAGGACTCTGATAATTATTAGTTATACTTGGTTCACAAATCCCCACTAACCAAAGTAATTTTACTGCTGTGTAGCTTTTTATTTTATTTTATTGCATAATCCTGGTTTTTACATACATGGGAAAGTGTTTTGAAGGGGTGTATGCTTCACAAAAAAAAAAAAAAAATCTCACCCATGAAATCGTCCCTTTGCCTAAATAATCAATCTTCTTAAATAACCCTTGAATCTCCATGTAGGTCTGTGAAATTTAAAGAGTGGAAGAATGAACTGACACTTTTCTACGGTAAATTCTTCAGGCAATTTCCTTAATTGCAGATAAAAGGAAATACAGATGAGGCAGATTTTAAAAAATCTGAGACAGAGATGCAAAAAGAGGTGTGATGCTATCTTACTGCATTAGGTAAATCCAAACACTTCTTCATCATAGGTCCAAATTTGGCCACATCAATGTATCTCAATCCACCTGATTCAAATTCCTTTGCAAGAAAAAAAGAATCAAATCACATTTCAGAAATGAATAACCAGACAATAAATTTTTTTAAAAAACAGAAGAGATCACACAATACCTCAAATGCTAGTTTCAGTTTCTCAAGGGTCTGAAGTGATATTTTCTCATCAATCTTAATCAGAAGGAGGGAATTGTGACAGTTACTATTATGCAAGGAAGCCTGGATTATTACAATAAATCAGCATGGTGAAAAATAAAACAAGTAATTAAGTGTAATTAGCAAATATGCTTCTTCCATTTTTTTCCACTCCATTTAAGCAGTTCTTAAAATCTGAGTGCTAAAAATGCAAATTAAAAGTATTTATTTATGTATATATTTATTTTACACTGAACCATTATCAGCACATATGATTAGGGCTCAACCTTAGAGTATAATTACTATCTGTAATGGTCACCACAGGCACCACCAGCAATGTCAATGTCAAGATGCTTCCACAAGGCCGGATGGCAGGCCATGCTCTCTGTGTTAATGGCCTATCCTCAGATTTTCCATGGTTTCCTAGCAACTGGTCCTTGATCCATGAAGCTCTTTGATCTATCATTAATAAATAACACGGATAAACAGCCTAATTCCTCAAGGATGAAACTAGGGTTGAGGTTTCCCCACGGTATCTTCTGAACTAGGGAGATAATTGTTTAATCAGTCAGAGTGATGGAAGGACTAAAAGTGTTCACATAACCTCGACTGCCTTGCAGATCCCTTTATAAGAGATGCATAACTTTGAACTCCTGAGCCTTTTCTGCCTAATCTGTTAAGGCGCACTGCTCATTACATTAGCTAGGAGTCTGACTGACATCTGCAACTGAAACCCACAAAGTTGAGCTGCTGCATTTGCACCAGCCTCCCACATAATTCTATCATTTTTGTCAGCTTGAAAGCTTGAATTTGAATCTACTGGGGACCTTTTAAGTAGTTGGCTCAGCCACAATGTTTGCTTTACTTTGGCCTGAAACATGGCCATCCTGGGCTCTGGGATAGATTGTCCTGCCCGATGTGCTGTCAGGGAGCAAGTAAATTGATCATCAACTTGATTTAAAATGGCATTTTTGGCACCAGCTCACATCCATGCTGCTACTGGTAGGATGTGCTTCAGCTGTAGTCAAGTTTAGAAGCTCTTTGGGATCTGTAACAGGGTCTGTAAAGTCAAGTTCAGAACTGCAGCACTCTAGTGACATCTTCAGGCTAAATGTAGCAACTCTAGAAACGAAAGCTCATGGGCAAGGGGTGAAAATCTATAATGATGTTATCCCACCTGGACTTTGTTCTTGGAGAGATGGTTTGGTTAACATTTATTCACTCATTTCATTTCGCATTAAGCTTGATATTTAGAGTTTTACCTTGAGGTTGTAAGTTGAATTGATGAGGTGATATTGCTGTCTCGTGATTTTCTCATTATCTCCGAGTGTGACAGAGTGTCTCCGTCTGCTCTGTTTGAGCAGCTCTTTCACCAACCAGTCAGGCTGTTCTTTTCCATCCGCGCTGTCAGTCAGTTGTCTTGGTACTGAAGAATCATCTGCTTTCTCATCCTGATATCCCAGCCCAGATGTGTTTCTTGTCCTCTCCTCTAAACCACTCAGTTCTGAGAGGATGCTGGAGGATTTGATATATGGGTAAGTAACGTTTGACCTTCAGTTATACAAGAAGGGACTTATTAGAAGAATCAAAATTCTCACATGTTTGAAAAAGAAACATTAGCGATGTTGCATATGATCTGTTTAATCCTAGGAATGTGATTATGATTCCCAGGTGACAGTGCTTCCTGCATTACAGGATAACTACTAAGTACTACCACAGATGGCAACACAAGCCCCATGACTACAGCAAACATTTTGTAACCAAGACTGAGAATAAAGCAAGGCTTCAACTTTTATCACTTGTCTAGACATTTAAACTCTGTTGGAGCTGACATTTAAAAGCAATGTGATTTCCAGTGGCGGCAGGGTAAACAATAACAGAGCAGATTACCTGTGTACATGTTGAGTCTCTAATCTTCCTGAAGCTGAAGAAGAGCGAACCTTTTTCCCCAAAGGCATTCTTTTTCATTCCTGTATCTTAAAGGTTGGTGTGACGTAAAAGGCACATTTTAGTGTTAAACATTTCTTCAAAGAGACCTCCAAACAGACGTTAATCAGTCAGATCTTACACTAGCTCACCTGATACTCACTTATGCATTACACCTGAACAGAGCAGGTGGCCCCGTGGTAACTAAGACACCAAAAGTGACAACTGAGACTACACAGCTTAAAACATGACCCAGTGCTTGCAAAGAATCAGGGCTGTGACCATGTAAACATTGCAAATGGATAGAAATAAGCTATTGAGATATTGTGCTGTATTTTAAACTACTGTGCCACGTTTTAACTTTGTTAGGGATAAGAGAAATATTTTTTAATGTGTATCTGCTCATTATATTGTTTTATGTACTTTAATAAAGGCTTGTAGAGCAAGGTCACTTTTAACTCACAAACTAAGTGCTCAGCCAGACTGAAAAACAGGAAGTTTTAGTGCACAGCCATATTAATAGATAAGACACTGAAATGAGGAACTTGCCATATAAGCAATGTTTGAGACTGTGTGACGTGTAAAGTACCAAAATAACACCTATATGAAGCACAGTTTATGATTCTAATGTTAGAGAGCTCTTGCAACTGGCATTTGAGCTGTGCAGAGGTCTCTCTCTTCCGGAAGATGATTGAATAAAAGAAATATCAATATTTTAACACACTATGAGTCGGTTTTCTCTGTTCTGTCATGGGGACAAAAGAATCGGGGTTTAATAACTTTCACTTTATTTAATTTACATTGCAAACCTACAGTTGCTAATATGTGTCAACAAAGGTTAAGCATTTTTCTTTTATTGTTATCAAGCTGTATAAGAATTGAGTTAAGTTCGATTGGGGAATATATGTTATATAAAACTAAGAGGAGCACGAGAACATTTGATTATTGGGCACAGACGTTAGGTCACAATTATCACGCACACAAAAACTAAATCAGCAAAAATGAATTCTATCATATTTAATTCATAATATTATTGTGCTGATTTTACAGAGTGAACTGAGATTACATAAAAACACAAACAGCTAATATAAAATGATGAAATTCAGTGAGGTCCTGGCCAGCTTGAGCTCCACTCTGGCGAGTCTGAGTCACGCACAGCTGGTGGAAGTTTATTGACTTTCTCCTTATTGTTTGGACAGACATCTTTACTCAAAACCACTTTTAGAGCCTCCTGCTCTGTAAAGCCAAAAGATAAAAACCAACATAAGCACATCTGTCAAACCACAATCACTGAACAATCTGTTATAAAGCTAAAACATCAAAAAATAAAATAAAATAAATTGGTGCTAACCCCTTTTAGGTAAAATTCTGTGTAACTGCTCCAGCTCCTGGGGTGTCAGAGACTTCATCACAGATGTGACAGTATTGACTGGCTTTCCGAAAAAATGGTCATAGGTTGTTACATTAGCACGATTCTTCTGAATCTGCAAGTTTCTTGGTACAACAGTGGGAACTGTAACATAGAGAATCATCATCTAATACACTGCAAATCACCAGAGCTGCTGTTTGCATGCATCTTCTATAGTTTTTGAGTAGACAGTACCTATACCGGGGCAAGTCACATTTGGCTCTGTTTTGCAGCAGTGAGAAACACTGACCACGAGTTCAGATTTTTGGTTTGGCTGGCGATAATTGGCCCTCATCACAGTGTCAGTAGAGAGTGATATGCAGTGCCTGTTGTGCATAGGTGCAGACCATCTGGCTGCTTTTTCAGTGTCATTGTACTCTGTCAAGAAGAAAATACCATGACAAAAAGAAAATGAATGGCAAATGGAAAATGAACTGTAGAGAGAAATATCATGAAATGTTATGACATCTGGATATTCCTGTATGCACGGATGTCTTCAGCCATTCTGACGAGTTCTCGTATACATGAGATTGACTGAAAATTGTGTACCTTGAGGTGTACCCATGAAGTCACATTTGTAAGTAGAGAGGTACTGTGCGGTTAGGGCCTTACGGATCTCACCCTCAGAAGGGAGGCATTTCAAAGGGAATGCAATATGGTCAGAGTTTCTTGCAACAACCCTTGGCAGCCTCCACATCATGAAAGACTTTTTGGAAAAATAGCTTAATTTAAAGGTTACAATACACTGTGAAAGGTCAAGCATGCCATTTCACTATAAATGTAAAAACTGAGGGTTGGTGCTAACCTTGCTGGGATGCGGGTTATTTCTCCTCTGCCCTGAGGCTGTTCCTGTACGAATGCATTCAGGTTTACAGGCAGGCTTCCGGCTAAAGTCCTTACTGTATATACTTGAACCAAAAGGTCCAGACTGTGAATATGAGTCTATCAATGACGTTGACAGGGGCTTCCTACATAAGTACCAGCACAGACACATAATTACACACACAACCATGCATAATGTGTATGCTTATTTAGAGCCTCATAAGTCCATGATTTTACTTACAGGAAAATATCTTCAGCTGAACTTGGCTGGTAGACGAATTGCCTTTTGTGAGTTGTTTCATATGGATCCCACCACTGTTTCCCCCCTGGAAAAAATACTACTATACTGTAACTACTTTTTTTTAAAGTATTTCAATCAGTGTAGACATGGCACAATCTAAACATCTAAACCTGAGTTCAAATTAAACTTTTTGATCTACATAGTAACAACAGTATAACAAAGGCTACACAGGCTACTGTATACCTCTGTAATGTAACTGTGCTTAAAATAAATGTTACTTTTTGATCTATTAAAATGTAGACTTCTACGTTCTGTAGTTCTCTGTAATTTTAGTATTATGCAGATTTTGCTTGAAATATTAACACGGACTTCAAAAATCACATAAAACAAAAACATACTGGAAAATTTACTGTTAGTCAATTTGGTCAAAATTGCCACGTAAAACATGAGTAGTAATTGGTGCATCTGTTTGATAAGGGAGTATGAAATGGGATATTGTGACTGTGGTGCATGTGCTTGTATTATAAGGATTTGTTAGAGGTGCCTTATATATATATAGTAACAGACATATAAGGTGCCTTATATGCAATATTCTCTCTAATTTTTCATGTGTCTGAGCGAACGCACAAACTCCCTGAGCGATCCCTTGGACCACTGTGAGCAACAG